AGATTTACCGATAGTCTTGAAAAGCTAGTCACAAATGAAAAACACATATTCGCTCTCTCCTCACGCACACAAAGGACGGAGCTTATTTTGTCATGAAAGGTAGACCAAGAAAGGTGCTGCCATCTTCTGGTTGTAGCACTTGCTGTAGCAGTTTAGCTCTTTTGCTCTGCCTTATCTTATCTTAATTTTTTTTATCCCGAGCACAAGCAAACCTGGGCATAGGCCTTGATGACTCCGTCCAGGATACGTGAAAAATCCTTCACTCTAATGTCGGATCGGCCGGTTGTCGGCAAGTTTTGTGCTGGTACCTTGAGAATTTCTCGGCCGTGAGGCCTGCGTGTGAGGGCTCATCAAACTATTTGCCCATTCGCACGTCCAGGCTGCAGCTGATGACCAGTTTCTCACGAAATGGCGGAAACTTCTCCCTCGTCACTATGGCCCGGCCGTTAATCTGTAGATTGGTGGTACGAGGCATGCCTGTTCGAGAGGAGTCGTTATAAAAGTCATGTCTCGGTGATCGAATGGGTCTGGACACATGTTCTAACCGGCTTGCGAGGGAATAATCGCTGCGCTGCCGCCTCGGCAACAATGCAGGCGAACACTTCTGAGTATGCGTCCACTCGACGACCTGACGCCACGATAGCAAGTACTGCTTCCATGACATGAGAACGAGTCAAACCATCTCTTGTCAGAGAAAAAAGACCACCACCGTCTTTGCTCCTCTTCAAAAGGGAGCCTTGCTAAACCCCAAGCAACTGTATCCGACTATGGAGGTCATAAAAAAGCAATGTCATCTTTCTTCATTCCTCATTGTAGATTCTATAAAAAGGTGGTTTTCTTTTTTCACATTTTGAGAATTGTCCATTTCTTTTTCCCTTCGCGGCGACAGTATGGTGAGGGTATCATTTTTTCACGTGATTCGTTCAAATAACAGGATACACATTCATTTTAGAGTACTTTTCATTTTGTTTAAGAGACGAGTAGAAGGGGTTTGTAGATTGGTCTTACTGGAATTCAAAAAGGGGTTGCCTTAGAGCTATGAATGTAGATTAGTGCGAATAAGTGCCAATGACCCCGATAAATCCCTGCTGAACTTTCGACCAGCAGGAGGCGAAACGGGAAATGAAGATGGAACTAATTCCAAAGGTCTCGGCACATCAGGAGCCTACACACAGGGACCGAGTTGCCATGATACGCAAAACCCTGGAAACGAATGAACAATTAGTCCTTCAAGCGGACAAATGGGGAGATACAGTGATATTAGACAAAAAACAACATATCAAGACGATGGAACATATTCTACGAGACAGGACCACATATCGTACGCTAAACAAGGACCCAACTATGAAGATCAATGGAATCCTAATTGCCATGCTGAAAATTATGCATAGGAATGGGAAAATCGACGCATGGACCAGAAATTCAATCATAAGAAAGGATACACGACCACCAACAGCATACGGATTACAGAAGATACACAAAGAAGGCGAGCCACTAAGGCTGATAGTCAACAACATGTATGCAGCAACACACAAATAGGCAAAGTTGATATGTATGAAACTCAAGAAATTAAATGAGAGACTATCAAACACGGTGAAACATTCATATGAATTTTCTCAAAAAATCAAGAACATGGCACTGGAAGAGACGGTGGAATCGATGTATACAAATATCTCTGGAGAAAATGCGCTAACGACAATGCTAGAAATCCTTTACCGAGAAGAGGATATCCTGAAATCACAACGAATCGGTAGGTAGTCGTTAACAAGACTAACCAACTTGACAATAAGGACAACCTATTTTACATTCAACGGGAACATCTATGAACAAATAATTGGACTTTCCATGGGATCGCCGCTCTCACCACTTTTGGCAAACGTTTGTATGAGCAAAATAGAAGAAAACCTCAAGATGGCACCGCTACAACCGGCAGTGCTTATGCGGTACATCGAGATTACTTCGCACTTTGGTCGCATGGAAGAGAAAAACTGGAAGTGTTCCTGACGTTTGCAAACCAGTTTGATGAAAAAAGTAAATTTACGATAGAAGTAGAAGAAGGTGAGCTGTTACTATTCCTTGACGTCGAAGTGATTCACTCTAAAGAGACGCTCAAAAAGAAATTGTTCAGAAGAAAGTCCTATGCTGGGATAATACTCAATTTCCGATCCCATCACGATTAAAGGCCAAATATAGGAATAATGAGCATAATATATGCGAAGAAAAGTTGGGTTTCGAGGAATCTCATGTTTCATAATTGTTGAGCTTATTTCCATTTCGAGTGAAAGTGTTGGGTGAAGAGATTCGAATATCGTTTCCACCAGAAGACGATGCCGGATTCCTCTTGACCAGATGTCGATTGGCTTTACTGGAGCATTCATGTTGACGCTGTGGCCGAGGTAATCTCCTTCGATTCCGATGAAAGGGTGTTAAGCTTTCGTCCATCATATGAAGATCATTATCAAAGCAAGGTATTATCATCACAACCAAATTCAAGCTAACCAGTTGTTCAGGTTGACACAGTCAACGGGACATCCTCCCTCGTTTCGGGTGACTACAAGCTGAGCTTTAGTCCATCATATGATTGACATCATCATAGTTGCAATTCATTCGCATAAATGATTCACAATTGTTGTGCTTACTTCAATTTCTTGATTCATTAGCTTGAATTTGGTTGTGACGATTATACCTTGCTCTGATGATGTTCGTATTATGACGGACGAAAGCTAAGCACCTTTTCACCGGAATCGAAGGAGATTGCCTCGGAAACAGCGTCAGCAAGAATGTTCCAGTAAAGCCAATCGACAGATGGTCAAGAGGAATTCGCTGTCATCTTCTGGTGGAATCGACGTTCGAATCTCTTGACCAAACACTTTCACTCGAAATAGAAGTAAGCACAACAATAATGAGCCTAATCCTAACGGATGTAGAATTTCGGAACGAGGAGCAGGACAAATTGACGAAGATATTCCTCGGCAATGGCTACCCAAGCGAAGTGATAGAATGAAGCATACGGGCCGTGAAAAGCCGATGGAAGAAGGGGGACTATAAAGTGGATATACCTACCTTTCTGCGAACAAACTCAAAATTTACTGCCAATATTGAGGAAATGGAATATTCGAGTGGTTATGAAAGAGAAATCAGCACTTTTCACAAGTCTACCCACTCAGAATGAAAGAAAAGATAAATTGGATTGTTCAGGAGTTTGCTGTATCTCATGCGACGTCCGCGAATAGAAATATATTGGCGAACCAGGGAGCAAAATTAGCACACGAATCAAGGAACATCAGAGGCTCTGCAGGAAAATGGATACCGAAAGATCCGAATTAGCGGATCACATCGCACAGACTGGACACGAGATCAATTGGAAGGCAACAGACAGAAGGGCCCCATACGGTGACAACACAAGGTAGTGGAAGCTTATGGAGGCTATTGACATTCTTGGGGAGAAAAATCTGATGAACAGGAGATTGGACGAAGGTAGAGTTAGCGATAAATTTTTTGACTGCTTAGGCAATCTCGAAGATAACAGGAATAGAGCAAAACCAGCAAAAAGGAGACGCCTGGATCAAGGATCCATCGCTAACCGGAGTAAAAGCGATCGCGAAGAATAAATTGGGGGGAAGGGGTTTTCGGCAATCAAGCAAAGACATTGTCAGTGAGTGATGTCCATTTTGAATAAAACAGTACAACTTTGGAGGCCTGGCAGTCAAAGAGCTGAGCAGACGGATAAACGAACAGTCACAGAAATTTGGCGTTATGGCCAAAATGTACCAGAAATCCACTTGAGATGCCGCATGCGACCACAGTTTGCTCCGATAAAATGAGTTTAATGAAGGAGAGGACCCGTGAAGGGAAAGCATGCAAATCAGAGCTGAGGCGCTCCGCTCAGTGAAGCGGTAGTGTACGTGTTTCTAGGATCTTGTAAAATAGCACCTGGAGTGAAATATACACATGAACTGGAGCCGAGTGAAATCGGTCAACCAGAAAGAGAAGGAACGGATCTGCGAGACAATGAGCGGATCCGGATTGGAGGCCTGAGTCGGATCAGCCGATCGAAGGAGACGGGGTTGGGCTGAATAGCAAGTGTGATGAGACCCCAATATATTTATAAGATGTATTCACCCAACTTCGTTTAAGCTGATGAAGGACTGGTAGAAGTGGAATTTTCCCACAATGATATGAGTTGAGCTGACGTTTCCACTGAATTTTCACATAGCCCTGCTTTCCCAAAAGTTGTTCTCATCCAGGCACCAGTGGACTGCAGTTTCGACCTCGC